TCTCTTTACTCTCTTCCACTGCCTCTCTCCTACTACCCATACCTTCCTATTACATAATCACATTCCCTTCCTCTTGGCAGTTCAAAACACAGACAAGTCACAGGGAAGTTGGGAATTATTCAGCTTTAGTCAGGAAGTGGAACCTGGACAGGGGTGTGGTAGAGGAAAGAGTTATATGATAGGGTTTTCAAAGGCAGGAGAGTGAATATAGTAGCAGCCAGCCAAGAGGTGGGACCAGGAAGCCAAGACTTGACCTCTGCAACCACATTTAGTAGAGCACTTTCTTTCCCATCGCACCTAACACAACACCCTCTTGCTTATGGTGAAGGTATTTGGTGCCTGGGCATTTAGTACATGGCGGTGAGGGTGACTGCATGAGGAGGAAGGGTTGTAGTATGAGTACCATAAGCTGAGCAAGAATAAGGACAGAAGAAAGGGGTCACTCACTTGTTCCCTTCCCCTATGACCACCAGATGGACCTTGCAGCATTCCTCAAGGTTCCATGGTACCTTACCCAGTTTCCCTGACATCACAACAGTCTCCCCAGTGTTCCCTGCTGGTCAACCACTGACAGGAATTGATGAGACTAGCTGCTGCCCAATATAACAATAATTATTAAATCTACAGTTCTTTACCAATTTCTTCCAAACACGAACTCTCCACATGTGCATACAATGAACATACACAAATTCTAAATGCATTGGGTGGAAAATAGCTGACTGATCATTTTTAATAATCATATCTCAAGGCTGGCATTTGAGAGTCATTATTTCCAAAGTGCCCTGAATACAGAATCCTGAATACAGAATCCTGATAACTTTTACCCTCCTCATATTAAACTAATACACTTTGAAGCAATCTTGAACACAGAGTACCTCTTTTCCTCCTATCACTAATAATTCAGGTATATACAGTATTGAGCAAGAGGTTAGTAGCCCCTTCTCCTGTATAAATTACTAAATATAAAAAGGAACACTTTTGGTTTTCTTTTTGTCACCCTGCTTTGGTGGGATACAGCTGATTTGTTAAATAAATAAATAAAGATATATATATATATATATCTTTCTTTCAACACACCGGCCGTATCCCACTGAGGCGGGGTGGCCCAAAAGGAAAAACGAAAGTTTCTCCTTTTACATTTAGTAATATATACAAGGAAAGGGGTTACTAGACCCTTGCTCCCGGCATTTTAGTCGCCTCTTACAACACGCATGGCTTACGGAGGAAGAATTCTGTTCCACTTCCCCATGGAGGTAAGAGGAAATAAACAAGAACAAGAATTAGAAAGGAAATAGAAGAAAACCCAGCGGGGTGTGTATATAGTATATGCTTGTGCATGTATGTGTAGTGTGACCTAAGTGTAAGTAGAAGTAGCAAGACGTACCTGAAATCTTGCATGTGTATGAGACAAAAAAAAAAAAAAGACACCAGCAATCCTACCATCATGTAAAATAATTACAGGCTTCAGTTTTACACTCACTTGGCAGGACGGTAGTACCTCCCTGGGCAGTTGCTGTCTACCAACCTACTACCTAGGTTATATATATATATTATAATATATATATATAATATATATATTATATATATATATATATATATTCTCCATGGGGAAGTGGAATAGAATTCTTCCTCCGTAAGCCGTGTGTGTTGTAAGAGGCAACTAAAATGCCGGGAGCAAAGGGCTAGTAACCCCTTCTCCTGTATATATTACTAAATGTAAAAGGAGAAGCTTTCGTTTTTCCTTTTGGGCCACCCCACCTCGGTGGGATACGGCCGGTGTGTTGAAAGAAAGAATATGTGTATATATTACTGTAGATAGTAGGTTGGTAGACAGCAACCACCCAGTGAGGTACTACCATCCTGCCAAGTGAGTGTAAAACGAAAGCCTGTAATTGTTTTACATGATGGTAGGATTGCTGGTGTCCTTTTTTCTGTCTCATGAACGTCTTGCTACTTCTACTTACATTTAGGTCACACTACACATACATGTACAAGCATATATATACATACGTACCCCTCTGGGTTTTCTTCTATTTTCTTTCTAGTTTATTTCCTCTCATCTCCATGGGGAAGTGGAACAGAATTCTTCCTCCATAAGCCATGCTTATTGTAAGAGGCGGCTAAAATGCCAGGAGCAAGGGGCTAGTAACCCCTTCTCCTGTACAAATTACTAAATTTAATAAGAAAAACTTTTCTTTTTCTTTTTGGGCCACCCTGCCTTGGCGAGATACGGCCGGTTTGTTGAAAAAATATATATGTATATATATTACTATGTTTTCCTCTCTACTTGCCCTCTCCACTATATTACTGAGACTGGCTGCTGTTTTCCAACACTCTTAAGAGCATAAAATAAATATTATGAAGTATTTACCTTGCTAACAATTCTTATTTTACCATGTTTAGACTATAGCCATCCCAGAAGCTTGTCCTCTTTCAGCTTTTTCATAATAATCATCCTGTTGAATTTGCCTTAACATGATTCTTAAGTTTCTTTTTTTCTGGGGGGTGGGGGTGCTGGAGAGTTGCTAGACTCTACCAGTGTATACATTGTGAAATGCTTTTTTTTTTTGGTTTGTTTTTTAGAAAAATGAGACTTAACCTGACCTTTTATTTCAGCATTTCCAACTACCTTGATTTTCTGGCTTTCATCTTGTTTCTACTCAGTCAACTTGATAATGGCATATGAAACTGAAAAGTTGTTCGCATTTCAAATTTTAAGTATTGTAATTTATTTACTGTTTACAATAAAGATTTGTACTTATTCGATATTTTTTTGTATTTATTACCTTTGAAGTTGTAATTGGACAAGCAATTTTTTTTCTGGGATTGGATAAATAAACCCTGTCATTTTTAGCTAAGCCCTTCTAGCATGTTGAAGACCCAAGTGTAGCAGGCCATAAACTGATACTTCCTAAGGAAATAAACAGCAGATACACACATATTTACATTTCATTACTTACACCGAAGTGTTACTAACCTGCTTATATGGAGCAATATTATTATGTACGAGTCTTACAAAATTGGCGCGTATCACAGGACAGAAAACGAAAATTTTAGCGTGGATCGGCATGTGAAATGGAACTTTCTCAAAAGGGGAGCAGCTTAAAACTAAGATACATGTGCAGTTTATGTATGCATCTATTAATAACATACTTGTTTAAGAGATGGCTGGAGTAATATCTGTAATATTTATGGGATAGACTCATATATGCAAATAGAATACTTGGGCTTATGAAGGGCTATGATTTTTCTATTTAAAAGGTCACCTTAAGAGAATGTTCCAAAGTATGTGTATATTACAAGACAAGTCTAAAAATTAGCTGTATAAAAGAAGTCTTGTCCACACATCACCTTTAAATTTTTCAAAACATCTGTTAATCTTTTAACATCTTTTTTTTATTTTCTTAGATGATAATCACATATATATATATATATCAATAGGATCGCAAACAGGCAATCTTAACGATGCAGAACAAGCCACATGGGGATGAAAATCTTCAGCTCACGATCTTTCACACCCTTTGTGTGTTGTCAGGAGTTGTGCAATGTTGCAAGACTAGCACCAGATAGAAGGAGGAAAAATTTTCTCTGAAGCAAGGCAGAAGCATAAAGTGTTGGGCCATATAACATGGCCTGATGCTTTACGCTTCTGCCTTGCCTGGGAGAAAATTTTACTCCTACCTTCTGTTGCTAGTCTTGCAACACTGCACAACTCCTGACGACGCACAAAAAATGCAAAAGATCTCGAGCCAAAGATTTCTATCCCCATGTGGCTTGTTCTACATACATACACACACATTAATATATATATATATATATATATATATATATATATATATATATATATATTATATATATATAATGTATATATATAAGTAATATATATATATAATGTATATATATATATATAATGTATATATATATAATATATAATATGAAATTTATGGAAAAGATTTTTGATAAAAACACATCCTTCAGCAATGATGCTTCCATTCAAGTGATCCTAATTCTTCTTCAAGGAACCACAAAATAGTCTCAGTATATGGATGGAGATTTCCTGATATTAGTTTTAGTCTTAGTCCTTCATTCAATTTCTTAATGATAATCATGAAAAGGCAGAGGTAGTTTAGAAAATGCTTACAAAATATCAGGATTAAGGTTCAGTCAATTGCCTGTAATAATATAAAAAATTGGGATTTTTCAACCTGAGGAAGGGTAGATTTTTCTTACTGAAATTATTTTTATGTATGATTTCAACAATATTACAATTTAAGATGTTTCCACAGGCTGGTTGAGTGAATACTGGGAGCTCCACTGCACTGTTGTCTTTGCTTCCCACACACAATGAAAATAAATAATTTACTTATCCTTTCACAAGCAGCATCACTCTGAAAGCCAACCAGGAACCATTTTTTGCCATAAAAATACACCATTCCAGCAGCTTGGGGGGGATCCATGTATATATCACTAAGCCGTGTGTCCTTGTCACACTTGATGAATAGGGGACAGTGGCCTCCTGTAAGGATATGTTTGGAAGTCCATACCTCATGGGTCCATTCTTTCACACTTTTAACTAAAATTCAGAAGTTCTAAGATCCAATGCTCACTCAAGCTCTTAGATGCAGAAGCAATAATGCCCAAAGGCGATTGTCCAGGAGCGAGAACTAGACCTAGGGAACTCCCTCAAACAGTCATAATGTTTTACCACAAGTGGCACAAAAGAAACTTAACACATGTCAATAGCTAACGGTACCCTGATTGTTATTGGAGTATTTGGGTCAAGTTGCCTGTCAAGATTCTGTATTGGTTATAACCTGCTTTCTTCTGGCACCAACTGATATTAGCACCTTTCTTCTGGTTGCACCATCACTGAGTATAATTCTTACAACATAACATGTTCACTTTCGATATAAAAACTTACTTTCTAATATAAAAAATCTAAATTACTTTTTTGTAAAACATTCATTTACACAATTTTAAAACTAAAATTACTGCGAATATCAAAATAAATAGTTGGCAGTTTACTGTAAGAAAGTTACACATTTTCAATGGTTTACAGATTACATGTGCTGAACCAATTACAACAGGCAAATGCTTGACCATTATAAGGAAGGAAAGTTCCTCTCACATCTACCTCTATAGCTTTATGAGACGAGTCTTCAATAATTGGACGTGATCAGACAAATGGGCTACTCCTGGCATATATATCGTTGGGATGGCTGTTTTGCTGGCTAATGTTGTTCCTATTTGCACATTGCTGCAAATAATTTTCTTATTAATATTTCGTTAGAATTCTTTATTACTTATGTCATAAGAAGTTAATGACCATAAAATTCCAATGTATTCATCAGTCATAATCTTAAAAAGCCACAGAAAATCAGTATAAAATACATGCAGTAAGTTCATGAAATCCCTAGTATAGTATACTAAAACAAAATGCTGAAATTTTGAAAAAAATAGACAAGACAGAGATAGCACATCAGTGTGTGTATATAGAGCTACTACTGTACAAATATACATACCGCTTGTTTCCTCTCCCAGGTCTTCATAGCCAGTTTGTACTTTTCAAACTCATGACACCAGTCGCTATATACCTGTAATATTGCATATATTAGTACACATGATTTAAATGTTTCAATGACTGAATATAATACAGTACATTATTTCTTCTAGCAAAGAACAGAAGACAAAATATTTTATCAGTGTGTATGAATTTCAACAAAACAATTTTCCACCTATTGGCTCCACTTAAAGTACACATAAAACAGCAACAATAACTACTACAGATAAAAGAAAGTATACAGTTAAATTTATATTTTTTCTGTGGTAATATTTAGAGATTTTATCTACAAATTTTTATTTTCTGTCTAGTTTAAGTTTTAAAATTTGCTTTGTTTAGTAAAAGAGTAAACTTTTAACGAAAATTTTAAAATCGTGCACAGTGATACTAATATTCAGAGACCCCCCCCCCCCAGGACATATCCTCTTCCGTATGACCCATTATACCAGGGACAATAATTCAAGAACCTTCCTTGTCAAATGCTCAGGCTACTCCCAGGTCAGTCGGCATTCCACTGCCATTTCCCCTCAGAATAGAACAAATCACCTGGGCAGCTAAACATACCTCTGATGCTTTTCTTTTCAGTTTTTAGCCATATTTTAAAAGGATTATGTACAAATGACTACTCAATTTTTTTATAACATTTACAAGAAAGAAGTAATGACAATGATGACACATATCACTAGAGTTCAGTACATGAAGTATTTACACAAGTGAGGAGTTTTTTCTTAATAATAATAATTGTAAATAAGCAATATTTGTGGCAATTCACGATCATTTTTTCTTCACCAGATGAAGATATCATTGTTTTACTGGAAAAGTATGTAAATGAAATACTGTTTCTTTTGTATTGTAAGTCTGAAAAGATGGAAGAACACCATCACCTGAGACACCTCACCACCAACCACTCCTTGCAACAGAATACCATCACCTGCAGTGCTTCACCTTCACCACTCCTTTCAAATGAAGAACACCATCATCTAACAGCTCACCAAATTTCCATCACATTTACCCACAAAACCATGACATGTGTTAAATTAGTACAGCCTCTCCTCACTTAATGACAGAGTTTCGTTCCTAAAACCACATCAGTAAACGGTACACAAATAACCCGCACATAAAAGACAGAAGCTTACGACGACGTTTCGGTCCGACTTGGACCATTGACAAAGTCAATGGTCCAAGTCGGACCGAAACGTCGTCGTAAGCTTCTGTCTTTTATGTGCGGGTTATTTGTGTATCGTTCCAGTCACGGTATTGTGCCTTTTTGTTATTTATCAGTAAACGGATTTGTCATTAAGCAAGGAGCATACTGTAATGGTAGTGGGTTTATATCAACCATCTCTGATATTATTTTAATGTCACCTTTGCACCATTTATAACATTTCTAGTATATTTTTAAATGTTTATACAGTAGAGTGCTGTATATTGTAATAAAAAGAATAAGAGGAAATCAGCTCAAATATACATTACGTATTTAGGTATGCATACTGGTCAGAAGGTCAGTCATAAGTCTGAGTCGTTGGTAAATGAGTATGTCACTAAGTGAGGAGAGGCTGTATTACAGATACTACAGTATTTAACTATGTATCATATATAAGGCCAAATATTTTTGTCAGTACCAACATCTTTGTTATATCGATTTAATGGTATAATGGTCATCATTAATTTGCCTAGCCTAATGATAGGATTTCTTGGAACCGAATTTCAGGGAGGCTGCTTGTATCTTCAGTAAATATATAAATTTTATTACTTTTATAATAAAAAATTCCAGTAAAGAATGCTTATTTCTTTGTTTACAATCTCCAGATATCATAACTCCTGCAATACTCATACCAGTAATGACAGAATATTACTTTGAATACTGTATTAATGAGCAGCAAAATGCACTATTCATCTTCAATTGTGATTCAATAATCTATATGTTGTACATTTCCCTCCAACATTAAGATTTCACCTAGGTAGTAGGTTGGTAGACAGCAACCGCCCAGGGAGGTACTACCGTCCTGCCAAGTGAGTGTAACACGAAAGCCTGTAATTGTTTTACATGATGGTAGGATTGCTGGTGTCCTTTTTTCTGTCTCATGAACATGCAAAATTTCAGGTACGTCTTGCTACTTCTACTTACACTCAGGTCACACTACACATACATGTACAAGCGTATATATACATACCCCTCTGGGTTTTCTTCGATTTTCTTTCTAGTTCTTGTTCTTGTTTATTTCCTCTTATCTCCATGGGGAAGTGGAACAGAATTCTTCCTCCGTAAGCCATGCGTGTTGTAAGAGGCGACTAAAATGCCGGGAGCAAGGGGCTAGTAACCCCTTCTCCTGTATATATTACTAAATTTGAAAGGAGAAACTTTGGTTTTTTCTTTTGGGCCACCCTGCCTCGGTGGGATACGGCCGGTGTGTTGAAAGAAAGATTAAGATTTCATAAAAAAAAAAAGTACAAACCTTCTGGAAATCATTCGTGCGAGCTGGAGCTGAGCAGCGATGAGCATCTACTGTGATATTATATGAACAAACAATATCTCCACCCATCTTGCAGTCATACCGACCTGCATCTGCCTCGTTGACATTCATCACAACTAAACCATGTTCAGAAGTCTCTATATACTTGTCGGGCCTGGGGAAAAAATAATGATTTTGAGGCAAATTAATGTGGGACAGAATTAAATCAACAAGAAAGTTCATAACAAACTTCCCTTATTAAGATGTAACTCAGGTCAACCAGCTTAACAGTTCAATGTTCAAGCATTTAACAATAAATGATAAAACAGGGAACAAATTAGCATAAAACTAATGACACAATAACAACAACTGTCATAGTAGCCCTCACCAGCCTGGGTGAGGCACATACCTTTCTACCGTTGATATACCATTCACGAATTTCAAATGTTTTTCTACTCTCAAAGCCCAGCCCTGGGCCAGGTTTTTCTGGTGCTTGCCTGGTCAACCACACTGTTTATGTTCCTGGACCACTAGTCAACATCCATTACAGCCTAGCTGATCTGGCACTGGGTGGAGATACTTGTCCAGTTTTCTCTTGAAGACTTCTACATTTGTCCCAGTAGCATTTTCTGATACCATCTGGTAAAATGTTGAATAATCTAGGACCAAGGATGTTGATACAATGTTCTCTTGTTATACCCAAAGCACCGCTGCCCAATCTGCAGTGTGCAGATTGGGGACCAAGCCCTCAAAGTACTTTCCACGTACCCATTATCAGGTATCTCTTCTCCACTCCAGGGAGTACAGTACATATTTAGGACTCTTAATTCAAACGCTTTATTGGCTCCCTACAGACCGCAAATGATTTTTGTATCTGGTCCAGCTCTGATATTTCCCCAGCCCTGAACAGTGCCACCAAAACTGAACTTACAGCGAAACCTCTCATTAATGAATTTTGGCAATTTTGCATAAAAAAAATGGCCAGACAAACGCTTTAATTATTGGACAAAATAGATGAAAGTACGTGATTCCAAATTTTGTCCACTATGTGTCTGGCTGTCTTCTGAAATATCAGACTAAGCCCAGTGACTCCAATGTTTATCTGGTATGGAAGAGAACAGCCATGGCCAAGACTTGCCTCTTTTCATTGTTCCTTGAGCCTTAGGCTACCCTTCATGGCCTGCAGGACAGGGTGTAATGGCAACAGTATTAGTAGACAAAAAGGTTAATGGGTGGACTTCAGGATGTACAGTAGGGCCCTGCTTTACAGCATTTAGCTTTACGGTGTTGCACTAATACAGACATTTCAAATTATGACCAAAACTTGCTATATGCCTCCCCCACCTGACTTTCTAATACAGTTACCGTGCCCCACCTGGTTTGTTTACATTCTCCACGAGTTCTGCGTCTCTCCATTATGTCTGGAAACTTTCCAAAATTTCAAGTGTTTTAAAGTTATTTCATATTTTATATTATTTATTTTTATTAACACACTGGCCGATTCCCACCAAGGCAGGGTGGCCCGAAAAAGAAAAACTTTCACCATCATTCACTCCATCACTGTCTTGCCAGAAGGGTGCTTTACACTACAGTTTTTAAACTGCAACATTAACACCCCTCCTTCAGAGTGCAGGCACTGTACTTCCCATCTCCAGGACTCAAGTCAGGCCTGCCGGTTTCCCTGAATCCCTTCATAAATGTTACTTTGCTCACACTCCAACAGCACGTCAAGTATTAAAAACCATTTGTCTCCATTCACTCCTATCAAACACGCTCATGCATGCCTGCTGGAAGTCCAAGCCCCTCGCACACAAAACCTCCTTTACCCCCTCCCTCCAACCTTTCCTAGACCGACCCCTACCCGCCTTCCTTCCACTACAGACTGATACACTCTTGAAGTCATTCTGTTTCGCCCCATTCTCTCTACATGTCCGAACCACCTCAACAACCCTTCCTCAGCCCTCTGGACAACAGTTTTGGTAATCCCGCACCTCCTCCTAACTTCCAAACTAGGAATTCTCTGCATTATATTCACACCACACATTGCCCTCAGACATGACATCTCCACTGCCTCCAGCCTTCTCCTCGCTGCAACATTCATCACCCATGCTTCACACCCATATAAGAGTGTTGGTAAAACTATACTCTCATACATTCCCCTCTTTGCCTCCAAGGACAAAGTTCTTTGCCTCCACAGACTCCTAAGTGCACTGCTCACCCTTTTCCCCTCATCAATTCTATGATTCACCTCATCTTTCACAGACCCATCCGCTGACACGGCCACTCCCAAATATCTGAATACATTCACCTCCTCCATACTCTCTCCCTCCAATCTGATATCCAATCTTTCATCACCTAATCTTTTTATCCTCATAACCTTATTCTTTCCTGTATTCACTTTTAATTTTCCTCTTTTGCATACCCTACCAAATTCATCCAACAACCTCTGCAACTTCTCTTCAGAATCTCCCAAGAGCACAGTGTCATCAGCAAAGAGCAACTGTGACAACTCCCACTTTATGTGTGATTCTTTATCTTTTAACTCCACGCCTCTTGCCAAGACCCTCGCATTTACTTCTCTTACAACCCCATCTATAAATATATTAAACAACCACGGTGACATCACACATCCTTGTCTAAGGCCTACTTTTACTGGGAAATAATCTCCCTCTTTCCTACATACTCTAACTTGAGCCTCACTATCCTCGTTAAAAACTCTTCACTGCTTTCAGTAACCTACCTCCTACACCATACACCTGCAACATCTGCCACATTGCCCCCCTATCCACTCTGTCATACGCCTTTTCCAAATCCATAAATGCCACAAAAACCTCTTTAGCCTTATCTAAATACTGTTCACTTATATGTTTCACTGTAAACACCTGGTCCACACACCCCCTACCTTTCCTAAAGCCTCCTTGTTCATCTGCTAACCTTTTCTCCATCTTACTCTTAATTCTTTCAATAATAACTCTACCATACACTTTACCAGGTATACTCAACAGACTTATCCCCCTATAATTTTTGCACTCTCTTTTGTCCCCTTTGCCTTTATACAAAGGAATTATGCATGCTCTCTGCCAATCCCTAGGTACCTTACCCTCTTCCATACATTTATTAAATAATTGCACCAACCACTCCAAAACTATATCCCGACCTGCTTTTAACATTTCTATCTTTATCCCATCAATCCCGGCTGCCTTACCCCCTTTCATTTTACCTACTGCCTCACGAACTTCCCCCACACTCATAACCGGCTCTTCCTCACTTCTACAAGATGTTATTCCTCCTTGCCCTATACACGAAATCACAGCTTCCCTATCTTCATCAACATTTAACAATTCCTCAAAATATTCCTTCCATCTTCCCAATACCTCTAACTCTCCATTTAATAACTCTCCTCTCCTATTTTTAACTGACAAATCCATTTGTTCTCTAGGCTTCCTTAACTTGTTAATCTCACTCCAAAACTTTTTCTTATTTTCAACAAAATTTGTTGATATCATCTCGCCCACTCTCTCATTTGCTCTCTTTTTACATTGCTTCACCACTCTCTTAACCTCTCTCTTTTTCTCCATATACTCTTCCCTCCTTGTATCACTTCTACTTTGTAAAAAGTTCTCATATGCTACCTGTATCTAAGTAAACTTACATACTGTGCTGGTGTCCAGGTACACATTAAAATCACTAAGAGTATCTTATGTCTCGAGAATGCCATATTAATAATAATAATAGCAATACTCACTCAGAGGCACATTAAATGTTGTATATTATGTTAATATATACATTTTCATTAATCCATCTATGATATTTTTTCAAAATTATATAATAAATATGCTATGTAATGTATAAACATGATAAATACACCCCACAGTAGAATAAATTAACATAAATATAGTTCAACACCAAAGAAAATGTGTCAACAATAATATTACTGGTGTAACTGTAGAAAATTATTCCTTTCCTATGCCTTCACTCAGAGCGTCATTTCTTCTAAAAAATGGCATTACATGAGAATGGAAGTGTTGCTCTTTAAGTAACAAAAAAGGCACAATACTGTGACTAGAATGATACACCAATAACCCGCACATAGAAGAGAGGAGCTTACGACGATGTTTCGGTCCGACTTGGACCAAAACGTCGTCGTAAGCTCCTCTCTTCTATGTGCGGGTTATTTGTGTAGTGTTGCTCTTTATTAATTCTACTGTACCATCATGGAGACAACTTGTACACTATGTAAAGTGTTTGTATTATGGTATAATACAGACATGTATGAACCAAAACCAGATACCTTCATCTGTTTACATAACTCTGCATCTCACCACCCCACCCCACTGCTGGTGGGGTGGGGTGGGAGTGGCCTGGCTGGCTACCATACCAACCACACCTCATTTTTTACAATAAATACTACTCATCTCACCATACATTAAGACTACAAATCTTTTAAGTAATGAGTGAACTGTATATGCATTTTATCATTCTGGGATGCTTTAAATGTCATAGTATATTACTTGTGGGTGGGGTGGGGATGGCCTGGCTGGCTACCATACCAACCACACCTGATTTCTTACAATAAATACTACTCATCTCACCCTACATTAAGACTATAAATATTTTAAGGTAAGTAGTGAGTGTACTATGTGTATTTTACTTTTTTATTGGTTTTTAATGCCTAGTTCTATTGCTAACTTAATATATGCTAGTGTAAACTTGTTAACTAGCATTTATAAGTGGGAAAAAGAAGTGTTCCACTTTATGATGGTAGCCTGGAACCTAACCTGACATATAAGTGGGGCCCTACTGTATATGTTTTTAGAGGCGCGACAGATATCAGATAATTATTTAGTAGCAGTTACAGCGAGAGTAATGGGAAGATGGGGGACAAAGAAAATGTCATCATGGGTACGAGAGAAGTGGAAGTTAATAAATTAAAGGAGAAGATATAAGCAATTCTCCATGGGGCGGTTGAAAATAATTCTTCTTCCGTAAGCCACGTGTCATATGAGGCGACTAAAATGCCAGAAGCAAGGGGCTAGTAACCCCTTCTTCTCTATACATTACTAAATTTAAAAAGAGTAACTCTCGTTTTTCTTTTCAGATCACCCTGCCTTGGTGGAATACTGCCAGTTTGTTGAAAAAAATAAGAAAGTATTGAGAGAGAGAGAGAGAGACAGA